TGTACATACATACGCAATGGACGAAGATAGATAGAATCAGGTAGGCTATACCGTCTTCATCTAACACGTGGCAGATCTAGGGCTGGCTAGCAACGCTGAGGTGCCCTGTGCTATTTCGATCCTCACGTGCGTAAATATACAGGGTGTGCGTAGAATGATCTCTAATAGTAAATTCGGCCATTCATACTCTAGATTAGTACGCATTAAACGAATAGAAAATATCTAAATATAATGACAATATAATCAACTTTGGCAATGAAACAGTATATATATATATATACATTTTGTTAAATAACATGACAATATTATTATTAAATATTTGTTTACATAAAATAAAATAAAATAGACAATTTGTGAATTGTCGGAATGATGCGGCGAATTTGTTAATTAAATAACAGGAACGTTTATTATTTTTGATTATAAATAATCATTCGCCATTATTGATTGATCCCGAGTTACTTGAAGTTCACGATTGTAGAATTGCTTCAGTTTTTATGAATTTAAAATTATTATGATCAATTTGAGTGTACCTTTTCACCTAATTAATAATGAAAATAATTCTTAAAAAAATATTTCCGTCGAATATTAATAAACATTTGATTTAAATGAATTGGAAAGAGAAATCGTAAAAATCTTTTATCGCAAGAAAATTTGAAAAAAAATTTAAGGAATAGAACTAAAGTTGTGTATCCCTTTCATAATAATAATGGAAGATATAGATGAAAAACATATATTCATAATTTAAATACAATTAAAAATAAATGAAATCGATCGTTTTTTTAATTTCTAGGCGTATTATTAAAATGTTCTATAATTGTATTAGGTGTTGGAATTAATTCGTAGCGTTTTTAAAAAAAAAAAAACGCTACGAATTAATTCCAACACCTAATACATAAAAGTAAACTTTATAAAATAGAAATATTAATAAAACATAGTAATTTCAAATTAAAATATGAAAAAATTTGAAGAATTTCTCTTAAAGAATAAAATAGATATATATAACTTGGAACAGTATAAATTATGCTATCTCGTAATTTTATTGTATCATTTATTTGAAAAAGTTGTTTTCAAAATACATGTAAATAAAAAATAAATGCTTCCTAGTGCCATATAGAATATGCGTTTATGTAGTCATGTTACATTGCAATCATCATTGTTAATGAATTTTTTTCCACAAGGAAAACGAGATAAATTAATTTTGAGGCCACTATTTTACCAATACGCTATCAGGTCGACAGCAAAAGAGTGCATAGAAAATATACATGCAATTGTAGAAACATATATTATTTTGTAAAATAAATTTACAAAATTAATATGAGGTATCTCATTATTGTAAATTTACAAAATTAATGTGAGGTATCTCATTGTTATAAATTTGTAAATTAGTAGGTTTAAAAAACTCTTGTAATAGTGATGGGACGCTCTCTTATGCTGTCCTGTTAGTACATAAATAACGAATTTTGTTATCTATACGAAAATAGATAAATTACTCATAATTAAAGTTATATATCCTAGCACATATACATATATTTGTAATTTCTACAGAATTTCTACTCTCATCGTTTGGTTTTCTTGCATTCTATCTAAATTGACAATATTAAGTTGCATCTTTACTTTCATATCCTCTTTTCTTTCTGTATTCATTTCATGTTTCGCTTATTCACACGCTAAATTGCTCCATTTAAGGAATATATTCTGTTTACATGCAATCTGAGAGCATTATTCACGTATACAAATAAAAGTTAAAAGCAGATTCGTGATGACTAGAATATCTTTACATTTCATACATTCGTTCTTTTTATACTTATGTGCAATAGTCCATAATAAAAAACATAGATATCTTAAATTGTAATATATAACTTTGGTTCATAGCAATCCCTCGATGATTTCGTTAAAAAGAGAAGAGATGAGAAAGTAATTCGCATTTTATGCTCCGTTAAATGCAAAAGTTGTAAGTAGTGTAATTTAAATTACATCATGCCCAAATTAAAGCTTATCATTAGGAAATACAGGCATTAGATATACTGTAATATACCCATCCTGTTAGTAACATTATTATTACTGGTTCAATATACAAATTCTATAATTAAATTTCAGTGACCTAAATTATAAATGATGTGCCTTGTACAAAAGATGCATGCAAAATCGAAATAAAAATGACAAATATTAGATACTACATTATCATTGATAATCAATTTTGAAATATGAAAGAACAAACGCGTAGAATAAATACCTGGAAACTTGTAAAATAAGTGCACTACTTACAAAAAATGCAATTTATGCATTATAATACATAATCTATGTATTATAATACATAATTGTAGTATATTATTATGCTTAACTAATGCATTATTATACATATGCAAGAGTATACACATACATATAAAAAATTTAAACTATCTTAAATTGCAATAAATGAAGATAAGATGCTAGATTAATCATTTAAGACTTATACTTGTAATTTAGAAGATATTCTAGCAATTTATTTTCGTAATTTTTGAAATTAGATATATAAATATATATTTTACTGCTAAATAATTATATATAATTACTATATGTATAAATAATTATATATGTAATTACTTAGCAATTATACTTTATTTCATATACGTCACACAAACAAATCAAACAAAAAACATTAGCTGCAGCAATTAATAAAATGATTTCATGATAAGACCTATTGGCGCATAAAGATTTCAAGAGTAAATTAAAAGACATAAACTTGACCAAAATTTCGAGTATGCTTCTATGCTACATTATGTACACATAAGCTGTAATATGCCTTTTGCTTCTTATAGCGTTTTGAGACTAGAACAACTGAAACGATCACTGATCGCTAAGCTTTTTTATGCAACAGTAAAATTTATTTTTGCAAACTAATTAATATTAATGATGGAAATTGTAATAGTAAAATCTATGCTTTTCATTGCTTCATTAAATTATTTATTTTCTTTTAAAAATAAGATGTAAAATTATTCTTTTAAATAATTATTCATTCTTAGTTACTCTGATATTAAATGTATTTCTTTCGATTCAATTTCGAAATATTATGAATTATTTGCAATTTGTTTTAAATGTAAAGTTTAATTTCATGTTTGATATATTTAATGTATAAATGGAAAGCATATGGCACAAAGGTCCTATCTTTTCTATACCCTAAGTTTTTAAATATAAAAAAATAGTATGATCACAAGGATAATATCATTTTATTGGTTTATCATTGAGTTTTTAGAGAGCATTTATATCTGTATCGATAAAACCCGATTTTTTTTTTAGTAAAACATAAATAAAAAAACCTATTTAAAAAAAGTATAATCGTAATTAATAAGATAATGAATTAGACAATGATATGAGCTTAACTTTATAGCAATACTTATTTGTACAAGATATCTATCTTCCTAAATCATCGTACTAGTTTTTCCATAATTTTTATGTAAACAAATTTCATACAAATAAATGGAAGAGAGTGAGATATACTATGGCATTTAAGAAAATACATTGTGCTATATTTATATATTTCAATTTAGGTGGACTTTGCATTGCTGTATTTGTTATCAGCGTTTTGTGTTATTATCAACTGTTACACATTTCTCTTTTGATTATTATTTTTATAAAGAATATTCAGATTATGTGAATTCGAATAATATTAATAAATCAAATAGTATCAATGCAAAAACTTGTATAATATTAAAATCCCGTTACAAGCACAAACAGAAAACATTACATTAATAAAAACATTACATTAATAAAATAAAAAATTATATTAAACTCCTGCAATACACATATAAAATCATATTAAGATATTTTTCGTTTTTAATTTATCAAAATAAAATAAATATTAAAGCACATACGCAATACATTTTTAGATAGCGCAGCGTAACTACTTTATAATTTCACAGTGTTGGTCCGACCGTCCGTTTATCTATCCCTTCGTCTGTCTGCAAAATTTCTAAAAAATAGCTTAACTTGTTTAAACTCCATTTTTGGCAATAGATACCTAATACAAAGACTTTAGCCACCGAGGCAAAATATGAGTCCATAAAAGGGTTAAAGATCAAAGTCAATGAAATTTTTTAGTAATATAGGGTAAACATCAAACGACTTAATTTTTTCAAATCCTGGTTTTTCGCTGCACTACTTCGTTACATCCGTTACAACGGTTTATTACTCTTTTTAACACACAGACATGTTACAATTCTAAATAACAAATGTTTCGTGTGCATCGCTCTCAAATTCAATTGTGTAATTATTACACAAGATTATCGATTTTTCTTTCTCTAATAATATTAGGAATACTATGAAATTTTCGTGTTAGTTTATGGCAGTATTCTGTATGCATACCATACATTTCTTATTGGAAGTATTAATAAAAATAAAAATGTCAAATGCCCGAAAAAAATGGAAAGACAAACATGCTGCTTCTAAAGAATCATTACACATTCCAATTTTTCTAATTATTTTTTTCTAATCTCTGTATTTGTTAATAAAATATATATATTGTCTAAAACTGATTGATTAAAAGTGCTTGTAAAATTTGATTTTTTGTTGCTATGGCACTGCATGTTTAAATGATTCTACAATGCTAGTTTTACATCTTGTAAAACTTTTCAGCATATGATTGTTATGACAGCTACCTCGATTCATATGTACTAAAATCAATGTTCCTACTATTGTAATTGTAAAAAAGTCAAAAATCTGGCAGCACTAATAAGTAAAGCTTGGGTACTTAATGCTTTTAATCATCACAGCACATTTACACTGTATTCGATTTGCAGGACTGCAATATTAATTAACAGAGATTCTCTTATAAAAAAAAAAGTGTTATGAGCGGTTTTCCACTAATCTATTGACTGTACGTTACTATGGTCACATATCCTTTTATCATTATGCAAATATATGTAAATGCAAGTTTAAGGAAAGACATCTGCAAGCTTGTAACTTGTAAACTTCCTCTCTTGCAAATGCTGCTAAATTTATTCTATCCTTCTTTTTTCTCTTACTTTCTCGTTGTTTAAACTTTCTGGTCATGAAGTAACATCACGACTCACGTTGAGACCAGTAAGTTTTAAATTGTACTCTTTCCGTAATATGATAATATTTTATAGCTGCCAGAGAATAATTCGTTAAAATGCATGTACTATTCATCTTCTCTTTAAAACATTCATATTTTTTCTTTACATGATCAAATTCATTTTGATCTGTTGCTTTATTATATGTGTATACCTATGAATCCCTTCAATTCCTTCCGTCGTTTATAACATAATGCATCTTCTTTGTCGACGTTTTTGAGGTTCAGGTCTTAAAACGGCGCGTACTGCCTCGTCAAATACCTGCTTTAGTCCACGCTGCGTGAGTGCAGAACACTCCATATATTTTACTGCACGAATCTATAATAAACATTATATTATTTATATTCTGAATTAATTACATAAAAAGATAGAAAGATATAACAAAAATTATACACACAAAGTAGAGAACAATTTATTTTTACATACCTTGTTTGCCAATTTCTGTCCCTGTTCACGCTTAATAGCACTAAGGCCCTGTTCAGCTAAGGCAGTAAGCGTTTCACGGTCATCTCGTAAGTCTATTTTAGTTCCAACGAGTATCATTGGTGCATCTGGGCAGTGGTGTTTTATTTCAGGATACCATTTACTGGTAACATTTTCGAATGATGAAGGGCTTGTTACTGAGAAACAAATGAGAAATACATCTGTCTGAGGATAGGAGAGAGGACGCAATCTGTCATAGTCTTCTTGCCCTGCTGTGTCCCAAAGTCCTAAACTAACTGGAATACCATCGACAACCATTGGTGCAGAATAGTTGTCAAACCTATTAAATATAATCCAGACAAAACATTAGAGATTTAAATTCAATGTTACATTTTTCAATTTGCTTTTAATTTATTCATCACTATTTATTAGCCGTCTTACTCAACATTTCAATATCAGTTTAAAATAAAAAGAAATTTTATTCACTGCTTATATCTTAACTGTAATGAGCCATGTGAACCAATAAAGATATTGCTGAATGAAATGAAGCTCAACAAAAATAGATTTGTCAGAATCTAAAGAACAGGAAATAACCAAAAGATGACTGGAAATGAATTACTTCCTGTATATAGCAGTTAGGTATCTTCTGCTCTGTTACTATTATTAGCCACTTCATTTGATTGGTCTAAGAAAGAGAAACTAAGGCAAAAACCATGCTATAAAATATCCCTTTAATGGGCTATGGTAGAAGCAGAAGATTTTTCAGCAGAGAGAACAAACATACAATCTTAATAACATAGAGATATACTTACACGGTAGGTACATACTCTCCAGGAAAACTATCTGTCGTATACGATATCAACATGCAGGTCTTTCCTACTGTTCCATCTCCTACCACTACACATTTTATTGGTCTACCTGAGCTCATGATTTATTATCTACAAAAAGATACGTAAACATCATTAGCATCGTTACAGAATCTAATTATTCAACAATATTCAATTTATCATATCATATTTAAATATTTTATTATATTGAGTCCTAAAATGTCACATATGTAACAATATGTTATACTGACGTTATTAATAAAATGAGAAATATAAATAGCAATTTCAGTCAGCAATTTTCAAAACGTACACAACACCCATAATACACAATTAAAAATACAATAAATACAAATACAAATATAATAAATATACAGAGAATCAATACACACGCGGTATACTTAATACGAAATTCCGTCCTTAATTTACATAATTTATATTCAATAAGAGACGCAAGAGACAAGTGTGGTGGCAATCGCATAAATCCAACAAATACAAAGCGTTAATTTTTCATTAGGAACCGCCTGCGATGTCTACGAGAATTCACGGTAGGTCCACTTTCACTTCATCTCGCGTGATCGGAGCGCGGATATCCCGGAATCGACTTCATATGAGATTCGAGCGCGCTCCTCCGTACCGAAGGGCTCGCCCTAGGAGTTGCACGCGCGCGGCAAGTAAACAAGGCTGGGCCGGCCAAACGAAAATCCGCACTCACCGTGTGGCACGAGGAAAGAGGGTGGGTTTCCGTTTATATCCGTCTAGAAATCGTCGTGCGCGACGATTGTAGGGGTGCGTGCTTGCGTGCGCGCGGCCGTGTGTTGCGTCTCAAAAAATCACAAAAGCGGGTGCCATGACAGTGTGTCGCGGTTTTTCAAGGGACTTGAACTGAAACGGAACCGGCTGACTGGCACACTGTTCACACCAGCTCGCACAGTGACAGATGTTCGACGGTCGCCTCACACTCCCGCCTCCCGCCGTCCTTCCTACCCCACCTTTTCGCGAAGCTTATTGTTCGGGGAAACGACAGATCGCAATACTGTCTCTGCGAGCAGTGCACATCGCGTCTGCGGAGGTTAAAAACTCGTCCCGAAGAGTTCTCGCGAAAGTGTGTGCATGGCACGCGTGTACGCAGAGATCGACCAATCGGACATGCCAGCGCGAGGGACGCATGGAAGAATCGACCAATGGTCACATTCGACTTAAGGGACGAACGATTCCGTGATATCGCCTTAGGTTGCGTTCGTCGAGTTTTCATTCAGTCATTCACTTTTATCTGAATTACGCGAGATTCTTCACGAATACTATTGGTTTGTTCCTTGCGGTTGAGTTTTTTTTCTTCTCTTCTGTCTCTTCTTATTGCTGCGACAATTCTTGTTCCTTTCGTTTTTGCAGAATTAAATCTATCGATATTTTTGTGAATGATTTTTAGGAGAGATTTTAAGCCTAGATTAAATATCTATTCCTCTAAATATCTATTATTCTATTTTCTGTAGATATGTAATTTTGGATATATTTGTTTAAGAAATATAATTGTGCAGTTACATGATCAGACCTAAGAAGCTTCAAGTGGAGAATAATATTCCTGTGGATAAAAAAATAGAAATTGATTTAAAGAAAAACAAAACTCAAGATAAACTGATATAGAGCGCCTAGTTTCAGACAAAAATACTGATTCATGAACGAATCAGATATTCTGATAATAATAAGAGTATTTTTTTCTCTAAAATATAATTGCTGCGACAAATTGAAGGAATTATGAATGTGATGGATGCTGTGTATCTTATTTCTTCGCGAAATAACACTTTTATTTTTATAATTTATTTAATTTTGTCTATTTTTATTATAGATTGGTTGAAGCTTCGACGGGACCACAGAATAATCGGCGAATTAGTGGGCTCTTTTCCAAAATTAACTAGACAAGAAATATTTTTAGGTCTCCCATTGCTTTTATTGCCAGAAGAAGTCACTCTACTGCTTGAAAAGAAAATCGCTTGTCTTGTAGAATGTACGAATCTAAAGACACAGCCAGATGAATCATTAAATCAAAGATTTCAGGAGTATAGAGATAAACTGTTTCTGGAGCAAGGAAATTGTCTAAAAGATAATAGAAAGAAACAAGTAGTTACTTGTATAGATATTTACATTTAAAGGACTATAAAGATTTTGTAATAGAATGGTATATGATAATGTTTCTTTTAGATTACTTCTGTGATGGACAAGATTATAGAAGGAAAAAAACGCAAGATGTTAGGCTTGCATACAAGCAAAAAGAATATGAGGAAACCATTGGATAAGAAAATGCAGGAAGCCTTGAATAATATTGAAATCGATACTGAAAGTTTGCTTGAAGAAGAATTGGCTAAGTTGCCCAAACTGAAAAAAAGTGATGCACTCGTTCAAATACATACAGGTACAAAAAATTTAATCATACATTTAGTAATTTAATCATACATTTGTTCATGGCCTGATCATTCACTTGTATGTATAGCATATCCATGGTCTAATAAAGATGATGTAAAAATAGTGGAATGGAAATATCCACTTACATCTGATCAGCAACTTAAGTATAAGATATATAAAGATCTTTGGGAGAGGCAATATTACATCACCAGTGGAGAAAAATTCGGTGGCGATTTTCTGGTATATCCAGGTACAATTTGTTCCATTATAATTCTAAAGCCTGAAATATAATTAAAAAGCACATGCAACAGGAACAAGGAATTAACAGAGTTCAATCTATCCAAAAATATGTATTCTGCTATTTCTAACTGTTCTTTGTGCTTGCTTAGGGTTAACATGCAAACTACAGCTACATTATAAATCTTTGTTCACAGGTGATCCAATAATGTTTCATTCACAATATATCATACAATGTAAACGTGCGGACGAAGAGATACCTATCATGGATGTTATTGCTCAGTGCAGACTCAGTTGTCATGTTAGAAAAACATTGGTGTTTGCTACGTATCACGAAGAGGAAGATATAGTGAAATATCAATCTTTCCAGTGGACAGAATGTAATGCATTAGAAGACAGCTGATATAACATTTTATTTAAAAATATTTATATTTTATTGACGTTATGGATATTTTGTTTTTTTTTTTCGAGATGTGACTTTTGTAGATGTCTACATATAATGCATGTTTCATAAAATTGTGAAGTACAGGTTCCAGAAAAATTAATTCTAATTATATTTCAACTTGGAAACTTCTATTATAAACTGTTAGTAGAGATTAGAATAATCAATTTTATATGATATCCACATTTATAATCAACACAGCATTACAATATATTTATTAAACATTAAGATTTTAAGACATTCAAAGAACTTTTTACATGTTTCCTATACATATATTTAGATTGTGTCTATTAATTTGAATCTATTATGCTGAGGTTTAGGAATAATATTAAAATGTTTCTTATATATAACTTGATTTTCACGACCAGCATAGTTGAGTTTAACCCAAGGGTGCTCCCAGTTGAGATCAACTTTTTCACAAGTTACTACCACTCTGCCTGGCTCTATAGCAAATAAAGATCCGTCTCTTGACAAACCAACCTATATAATAAAAAAATATATAAAATGATACAAAGAAAATTTGTAATGTTAAAAACACAGTGATTAACGCTTACATTAAGACCTGGATGGAATCTGAGTCTTCGCTGTGTAACCAATAATCTGCCCCCGTATGTGTAACCCCCATCTTGTATTTTCCATCCTCTGTGTTTTGGTCTGGGATGGCCACCTGTGTTGCTGGTGCTAGTACTATTTTTCTTTGAAGCATGTCTGACACATACTTTCACTAAATAAAAGAAATAATTTTCATTAATCTTAATATATAGACAAGCAAAATCTTAGTAATGCAGTTTGTGACAAATTTGATAGAATAGATACAAATAAGCATCAATTATATTCATCCTAAGCTCATTACGAGTTTCTCAGTGTAATCTCAACAAAATGCAGGTTGTTTGCAGAAATCAAGAGAAGAATCAATCATATCAATTAACAGTTTAAATAATATATTTTATTTAACCTTTATGTTACCACCCAAAAAATGCCACACTAATGACCACCCGGGGTCATTATCATCTGGTACCCAGATAGTGCGGCTGCCTAAATCTTATACCTGCAGAGGATTATAAAGGTTACTGTATACGAATTTATTATTGTACTTTGCTCGAAATATCTCTATGAAATATTAATAAATCAATATTCATCCAATACATAAATTTATTTTCAAGTTTACGACAGTTTTACCTCAAAATTTCTGCATGGGTACCCGGGTACCCCGGGTGGTAACATAAGGGTTAAAAAAATAAGAGATACTTGATTTCTACATTCAAGCAATTATAGGATGCTAGATATTTGAACCTTGTGTCCACAATGTTAGAAATCACTTTAAGATATCTGACAGGAAATTAACAAATGACCAGGGTTAGGTAGTGCTAAATTAAAAAGTTAATTAATTTTAACTCAACTTAATTACATTTTAGACTCTTAACTTTTTAACTTAATTTAGTTATATTTTATCAATAACTATTTACTTTTAATTTGATTTTTTTAAAGTCAATCCTTAGATACAATGCAAGAGGCTAATGAGTATATAATTTAGTAATTTTATATTGTATAATCATTACTTGTGAACAAAAATAACCAGATTCTTTTATAAATAAGCTGTAGAAAGGAAAAATATGAAAAATTATGTAAAACTTCTTTTTTTTTGGTTGTTCGTTCGAATCAAATTTAACTTTTAACTTTTTAATTACTTTTTTTATTAATTTTTAATTTAATTAATTTTATTATGGAACTTATATCTTAATTAAGTTAAATTTTCAAGACTGTTAACTTTAACTTAACTTTAAAAAAAAGTCAACTTATACCCAACTCCCCATATAACACTTGACAAATATATGTTATCATAAATAATTATACAATATGTTCAAATTATATTATAACAATTATAATACAGTCACATGACCAATGTGATTAATCAATTTTTTCTCAGTCTAAGATCACAGACAAATTCCTCATCAGCATCATAGTTACAAGATTTTAAATAACAAAGAGAAACATCATTCTAACTTTCTTCTATTCAGTGAATAATAAAGATAAAATGATATTTGTATCAACTTCTATCACCAAATAGAAAGTATCCTTGTTCTGTTAACAAATTCTTTCCGTATTTATAATTATTTTTCTACCGACGTATTCTGTCAACAAAATTTACAATAGACACTTTGCAAAATTTGTTTTCGACAGATTTGGTTATTAGAGTATGTATTCTATTTTGCCACAAGATTACATTAATAAAGTAATATTGACATACAAACCCAAATTATTATTATTACAAGATACTAGAGTTTGCCGAGCATTTTGTAATCCAAGAGAAACCAATTGTGATAAGTGTGCCATCTAAAAAAGATCTTGCGTTTACTTTTGATTCTTGAATATAGTCTTAAAAATATTATATATTATTATCACATTATATAAATATATAAATAACGTTTGTATCAGAATGATGAACTAACCTCAAAATTTTGCCGAATCAGAAATTCTACTGGACAAAAATCCTAAATTCAGAAATACCAATTGTTGAAAAGTAAACTTTCTATCATCATGTACGTCACACATCATGAACACCAATGCATCATGGCGCAACCAATCAGCTTCTTTCTCCATCTCATTTCATTTGCGGGCACTCCATTTGTCGCAAATAGATCTTCCTCCAGCTGTTTTCTCATTTTCATGAAATATTCCTAGAGGATAATTCGATCTGATTCGATTGTCATTAGTTACACAGTGTCACTATGCTGTCATTGTACATGTATTTGAGATCTTCTTCTTGAGATCCAGAGTTCCAATATTTGGTTGATATTGATCACAATTGGCGAAAATGACGACGAACGCGGAAGATCTGCAGAAGCTGGAGGAAGAGGCGGTTGCCAGGGGCACGAAGTACGTTGCGAACCTCCTGCAGCGGCCGGGCCAGCTGGAAAAGATTGACATGTACAAACGGCGGATCGCTAGAAAGAAGGCCTCCGTCGAGACTATGCTGAAAACCGCGATGCAAAGCCAATTGGACGGAGTCAGAGTCGGCTTCGAGCAGTTGCAGAGCTCTCTGGAAGCTATCGCTACTACCAAGGACGACCTGGATCATATTAACCAGCTGTTCAGCTCAGTTCTGAAGCTCAGCTCCAGGCTACAGGCAGTGCAGGAAGAGAACATGCGTTATTCTCAATATGTCATTGCAAAGGAAAATCTGAAGCATATATTCACTGTCCCCGAGAGCGTGGAGAAGACGAAACAGTGGATAAACGAAGGTAAGCTGTTGCATGCGCATCAGAGTCTGATGGATCTCGAAACTTCCAGGGACGAATTGTTGTACGAGCTTCATAAATTACCGAATCAATCGCCAGCCGACACGGTTATGCTGAAGGCTTATTTCGAGGACGTGGAATTACTTTCACAGCTTATGGAGAAGCAAATAAGACTGGTGCTAGGTCGTACTTTGAACACAGTCAGGAAGGAATCTACTGTCATAGTGACACCTTTAAGAATTATAGAGAGGGAGGAAAAAGCAGATCAGTTTGCCATTCAAAGGCACAAGCAGAGTGGATTTATGGCGCCAGGTAGACCCAAGAGATGGAAGGAGATGGCAATGAAGGTGTTGGAAAAGTTAGTTGCCAACAGAATCGAGGGAACTCAGGTGGAGGAGAGAGCTGACAACAAAATGTGGCTTGTGAGGTACCTGGAACTTACGAGACTTCTGATCCTTGAGGATTTGAGCGTGGTTAAAACTTTGTGCGAACCTTGCTTTCCACCCTCGTACAATATAGTAAGAACTTTTGTTAAAATGTATCATACAAGTCTGTCCCAGCACTTAAAAGACATAATTGCCGGTGGACTGGAAGGAAACGAATATGTTTCTTTATTAGCGTGGATTATGAATACTTATACAGGGCCAGAATTGATGCAACATCCTGAATTAAATATTGATACATCTGATATAGGTCCACTACTTAGTTCTGAGATGATAAACGATCTTCAGGAAAAGTATTTGCGAAATATGTGTCAGAATTATGAGGATTGGATGAGAAAAACGCTGGAAACAGAGAAGCTTGATTGGAGGAGTGGTATCCTGCCTGACAGCAGCACCCAGGAACTATATTACCACACCGCCGCTCCTGTTATCATATTCCAAATGATCGATCAAAATCTTCAAGTTGCAAAAACCATCAGCTCTGACTTAACGGCGCAAGCCTTGATTCTGTGTATTGAGCAGGTGATCAAATATGGATCTATGTATAGACAAGCAATATTAGAATTTAAAACGAAGCATTTTGAAGACAGAAGCCAGGTACCTTATTTCACTCATCATATGATCACGATAGTTAATAATTGCATACAATTTACCGAGTTGGCGCAGCAGATGAAGCAGCTTTATTGGGTACCCAATACTATCGGTGACATCACAGTGAAAGTCGAGAGTCTCTTGGCGAATTATCAATACCTAAGAAACGAAGCCGCAGCTATTTTACTGCAAGAATCTTTCCTGGATCTGGAGCTGCACTTCCAGGATTTAATCACGCCCAAGTGGTTATCATCGCCCATTCCGGTGGAGACCATCTGCGTCACTTTGGAGGATTACTTTCAAGATTACAATCACTTGAGTCCCAAGAACTTCGAGTATGTCATCACTGAAGCGCAGAATCTCATTGCGAAGCGTTACATATCCGCGATGTTACAGAGGAAGATCTCCCTAAAGACCTATGACGAGTGTCTAACGTGCACATCAAAGATAATGACAGAGGCAGACAAACTGAAAAACTTCTTCGACAGAATCGCGCCAAAGGTTGGGAATTTCAATTCGCCATTTGAGATAATAAAACGTCTCGCTGAGGTGCTCAGGTGCGAGGATGCGGAGATACTCTCTCTTGATTTACACTCGTTGGTCGAAAAGTATCCCGACATGACAGAGGATCATCTCATCAGATTGCTTGGCCTGAGGGGCGACATATCGCGAGCAGAAGCTCGAGGAAAGGTCTCGTACATCATGGAGGCTCAACGAAATCGGAAGCCTGTACAATCTATAACAAATAGTATATTCAAGCAGATAGTTATACAGGACAGCTTCCTCGGCTGGAAACCTTGAGATTGGAAGAATCTGTATGAAGCAAAAATATGGAACATAAATGGTTCTTCTATGTAGGACCACGCCATTCTTGTAAATCAAATGTTTCTTTTATTCAATAGCGAATGATGTAATATAATGCTGTAATATAAGTATTTTAATTCATCGATTGAATAATTAATCACATTATGCGCAAATGTAACTTTACTTTATAAAAGCTACATTTGTGCATAATGCAATTGATCAATAGATAAATTAAAAAACCAATATTTGTACAAATTTGTTGACATTTAATTATATATAGTTCTTATAATTCTGCGATTTATACATATAAAAACTCAACACTTTATTTATATAAAATATTTATGTAAGAATATAACCTGATCGAAACTAAATTGTATAATATTCATTGGTATTATATATATGAATATAATATATACAATATATGAAATATGAAAATTATTAAGTTTTTAAATTTAAAAATGTATTACTCCAGTATTAGCCATAACTTGCCAGCAAATTTTCTTTTCTGCTAACCTAAAACCGTTACATCTAACGATTCATTCCTGTAACAACTAAAACATTATTCTGAGATCGCAAAGATATAAATCTGTGCAAGAAGTAATTTCGTGATATTGTTTAATTATTTGTAATTTATAGTTTTCTTGTTTAGCACTGTATAAAAGTATGCAATAAATTATTAAATTTCAAGGAATTTCGTAGAAATATCGAATAGAAATTGTGTTTAATATGTGAACGAATTTTTTTGTAGCATGCCTACATGCTTGTAAATAAATGTGAACTTTTTAACTATAAAATGTGAATTTTTTAACTATATTTTTAACTATCAAAGGCGGATTCGATTGACAGTTATCGATTACGAAATTGCGATAAATGATTGCTTCAGCAGAATGTTTAAGCGGGGAGCATAGACTCTTGTATAACGTATAAAACATAAAGCATAAGAACATCACCAGAGTCCTTTATTTCATGGAAAGGAAAGAAATAAAGGACTTTGATTGATTCATTTTCTTATGCATTATGGGCTATGTGTTATGTAAGACCGGAATCAGACTACGCATTGAAAAATGAGATTGAAGATTAAAAGAATGAAGTTTGACCAATCAGAAGAAAAGGAACCAAAAGCTTCTTTTCTTTGTCCTTATTGGTGAATTTCAATCTTTAATCTTTAATCTCAATCTTCAATGAATAGTCTGTTTCCGGCCTAAGAGTCTGTGCTCCCCGTCTTACGTTTGGGAAAACTATTAGAAGTTTCTTTCACGCTAATTGGATTATAATTTTAGATCTAGAGGAATAATCCTATCTCATCGAAGAGAACTTTTGATAGTTGCAAAACAATAATTCAAACAGTTGTTTACATTTAGGACTTCAGGTAAATAATGAGTTCGAAAAAAATAAGCACGATGGTATAATGAATCATTGCATTAAGATCTGTCTTTGTGCATATAGATAATTAAAATGTCAATTTCACAGGAAAATATGATATATATATATATATATATATATATATATATATATATATATATATAATAACATTTTCTCGAAAAAAAATTAAGATCTCCCTAAAGACCTATGACGAGTGTCTAACGTGCACATCAAAGATAATGACAGAGGCAGACAAACTGAAAAACTTCTTCGACAGAATCGCGCCAAAGGTTGGGAATTTCAATTCGCCATTTGAGATAATAAAACGTCTCGCTGAGGTGCTCAGGTGCGAGGATGCGGAGATACTCTCTCTTGATTTACACTCGTTGGTCGAAAAGTATCCCGACATGACAGAGGATCATCTCATCAGATTGCTTGGCCTGAGGGGCGACATATCGCGAGCAGAAGCTCGAGGAAAGGTCTCGTACATCATGGAGGCTCAACGAAATCGGAAGCCTGTACAATCTATAACAAATAGTATATTCAAGCAGATAGTTATACAGGACAGCTTCCTCGGCTGGAAACCTTGAGATTGGAAGAATCTGTATGAAGCAAAAATATGGAACATAAATGGTTCTTCTATGTAGGACCACGCCATTCTTGTAAATCAAATGTTTCTTTTATTCAATAGCGAATGATGTAATATAATGCTGTAATATAAGTATTTTAATTCATCGATTGAATAATTAATCACATTATGCGCAAATGTAACTTTACTTTATAAAAGCTACATTTGTGCATAATGCAATTGATCAATAGATAAATTAAAAAACCAATATTTGTACAAATTTGTTGACATTTAATTATATATAGTTCTTATAATTCTGCGATTTATACATATAAAAACTCAACACTTTATTTATATAAAATATTTATGTAAGAATATAACCTGATCGAAACTAAATTGTATAATATTCATTGGTATTATATATATGAATATAATATATACAATATATGAAATATGAAAATTATTAAGTTTTTAAATTTAAAAATGTATTACTCCAGTATTAGCCATAACTTGCCAGCAAATTTTCTTTTCTGCT